CCGTTTGGTGTTGTTACCTGTTTTTTCTAATGTTCCAGGAAATGCTTCAAGACGCTTCGTAGCTGTTGAGAGAGAGAGAGAGAGAGAGAGAGAGAGAGAGAGAGAGAGAGAGAGAGAGAGAGAGAGAGAGATTGCCCGGCAATACGGCTGTTGGAATGTTTCGTAGCGAACAGCAAATGCTTCAAGAAGATTGGATGTTTTGGTTACTCCATTCATACGTGAGAGGGAGGACCTGCTCAACAAGAATGGCACTGTTATAATCGAAGGGAACGCTCTTCTACAACTACCAAGACGTGACTTCCAATCACGACTGTTTACGGGTGAATACGGCTGAATGAAAATGCTCTTCTCGGCCCACTGAACCGAGACTTACAACACAGACACGCACACAGAGTAGGGGTTGGTGTGAGTAAAGACTAACCATTGTCTCAGGGGTCTCGCTAACTCCGGCTGACGTGGTGAGTCCTTATCCATCGGCCGGAACATGCAATCTTATGAGTATAAAACAGACTGAGTATAAAAGAGACTAAGTATAGAGAAGGAAGGAACGCGGGTGGTGGTCGTGCTTCAAAGTAAAGAGCAACGAGAACACGAGGGAAGACGCACAGAGAGAGAGAGAGAGAGAGAGAGAGAGAGAGAGAGAGAGAGAGAGAGAGAGAGAGAAGGGGGGAAAAGGAAGTAAGAGAGGAGAGGCAATCGCCGGTAGTGACAAGACGGTGCGGAGTAGTCGTCCTGTGCCAAGCTGACCTGTGCGTGGTGAGACTTGGTAGGTAACGAAGCGTGGTAGGCACACAGAGAGAGAGAGAGAGAGAGATGAAACAGCGGACGGTTGTGTGTTGTTGAGACGTAATAACGGAGAGGCCGGACGCAAAACGCCGAGGGGGAGGAAGAGCAGCAGCAGCAGCAGGAGGAGGAGGAGGAGGAGGAGGAGGAGGAGGAGGTGGTACGGTGAGAAAACAACGGACGGTTCTGTTTTTTCGTCTTCCTTCAAATGGAGCGGAGGTGCATTGACAGAACAAAGTTCCGGGAAACTTCGTCTAGAAGGTGACAGATAAGGAGGAGGTGGAGGAGGAGGAGGAGGAGGAGGAGGAGGTGGTACGGTGAATAAAAGAGCAACCTGCTCTACTTAAGTTAAGTGAGCGAGCCCGCGACGAATCGAATGGAGCGGTGGATGGAGAGTTCATCATCACTTTTACACTTTCTGTTTCATCAGTATTGCCTCTGGTCTCGTTAAATCGCAAAAGAGGATACGAGGTATTCGACACTACCATTCCCCCCCCCCGGCTCTTACACTTTCTGTTTCATCAGTATCATTACTGTGTGCAGAGCAGCACGCGGCGGTTTTTGTGTGTTTTTCTTGAGGGGAAACACGGGGCGTATTCGACACTGCCATCTTTGCCATCTTCCCCCCCCCCCACCCCTTCGCCTTTTGATTGTTTCTTTCTACGGTCTGGCAGATTTTTGGTCTCCATTTCGTTCGAGGATAACATCTGCCATTTTATTGCTCTTTTTTCCACTTTTGCTTTTCCATTTCACGCGTCTCATCCCCTTTTCCGTTTCCACTTTCACGCGTCTCATCGTAAAGAGGAGCTGAGTTGTGAGGGGTGAATGCGTGTGTGCTACACAGAGAGAGAGAGAGAGAGAGAGAGAGAGAGAGAGAGAGGAGGTAGCGTATGATACGTATAGCTTGCAGAAGCGTACCGGTACGTCTGGGCGCGATGGTGTCACAACAACAAGCAGTACAGGCGGGCTATGCCGCGTCGAGACTCCCCCGAGGAGGAGGAGGAGGTGTGGCGTACCGGGAAGCAGCGGTAGCGGGCAGTCCTGGAGGCGGAGGGGGAGGCGGAGGGGGGAGCGGAATGAAGCCATCGGTCACGCCGTCTAGAGATCTTCTTGAAGACCTTTGCAGGTGCGTACGAGTGAAAACAGTTATGCTATTGCAGGAGGTGAAGGAGGGGGAGTTGGTTTTTTCTTGTCAATCTCTTCGCTCGCCTCTCTAGGGAAGCTATTGAGCTTGCATTTTTTTTTTATGAATTGATATGTATTACTTACCGGTATATGCTATAGTCGCTATGATTTTTATTTATTTTTTTCCCTATGATATTTAGTTTTTGTACATCCAAGTGAGCCGTTTCTTAAAACAAAGTTTCAGCTATGTTAAAGAATGTATTACGTGTTGTTGCGTATTGAACCTTGTAATCGCACTTACACTCCGAGTACTCTATAGAACGCCTTGAACAGAGGGCGGGCAGAACGAACGCACAGTCATTTTCGCTGCATCCAGACTGAAAGTTGTTCCGAATACATTTTTGGAGGCAAGTACGAGGGAAAACAGTCACCAGGCAGTCAGTTTTTTTTGTCAATCTCTTCGCTCGCTTCACTGGGGAAGTTCTTTTTTTTTTTTTTTTTTTTGGTTACGGTGAAAAGG